CCGCTCCTTCTCTCACGAATTCGCTTTCGCCAGCCGGAGCGATTTTTTAAAACGCTGGCAACCCTCACTTTGAACCAGATTTTTAAAGGCAACCCTATTCTGTCGTGAAGAGTAAACATTAAGCTACGATCTAGTGCAAAAATTATTGAACCACGCGATGGATGCAATTAATGAACAAAACTCACCCTCTTTACTCTGCCTGCTAGAATTGTAACCACTTTAAAGGTGATACCCTACCATTTTCATAATCTACAGATCCTTCCCTTTCCCTTTTATAAACATATGGGTCATTTTTTCAAAATTTTTTATCAAAACCGTCGTAATTAATGACCTTTTTTTTTTTTTCAGGAATCCTTGCGGTTTAGTGTTGCCCTCGACACGAACTTCGATTTTTTTTACGTTTCATCTGCATACGCGATAGGTGCACAAACTCGCGGTGAAATCTTGTACTATTATCCATATTGATTTATATAATACTTACTTTGTGATTATTCACAATGATATTAATAAGCTTTGTACAAGTAATAATAATGACAGTAATGACAATTATAGCTTCAACCATAATATCCATATTACCCCAAGTATCGTATACTAGAACCACCTAAAAATCAACAATGACGTAGCAACATTAAAGTACAAGTGACAAATATATTTTTTAATATAAGGAGTGAATTAAATTCACTTAAAAAATTTATACTACTACATGTACTTGAAATTAATACGACGTTAAACAATAATATAAAACGCTCGGTTATTTGACAAACCAACACAACAAATTAACGACCAAAAACGAGCAAAAAATTGATAGATTACAATAAAAATATATATATTTGAAATACAAAATCACTCCAATTCTTATACATGAATACGTTTACTCACAGAGCCTTCTTCAGTTAACATACATTCATATTGACCTAATAATTTAACCGCAATTAAAAAACAGAAATAATAACATAATTGTATCATAAGCAACTAAACTGTTACCCCACCATGTTCATAAGAGTATCGTCATGATGTTATAAGTAAATCCTCGTTCAAGGGCGAGAATCCCGTTAAGTCCAAGTTTGTACCTCAAATATATATTTTTTTTATGCAATATCTTTATTTAAGATAAATATATATCTTTTTACTGTAATCTAACAACTTTTTTGCTCGTTAATACGATATGTTACCTGATTTACGATGGTAGCATAATGTATCGTTGATAAGAGACATGGTAAAAACACTTTCAGCACTTTTCGCTGATACGGCCAAACACCGATTCCTGACAAAAATAATTTATTGATGGCATAGTACTTTTCCATTTCCGGATTCATATCGTACGTGGTTTATTTTGCAATGTACCATCGCGACTCAGCTCCCCTTGTTTTGTACGGTTTTGTATGGAGGGGAAAGTGACATGTATAATCAATATGATTACGGTAATACCGAATTGTCAGTTCGATAATTGGGATTGTCAAATGTATATATAAGTCGTGGAAGATACTCGTATATATTAAATCGATCGATGTCGAGAATGTTGCGTACTACATATGTTAACATATAGACAAGAATGAAAAATAGGTATTTTTTTTAATAAGTACTTTCTGAGGGTAGAACTCTATTTTGAAAAAAATCGGTTTTTTCTTCCTAAGTCAATGTCGTTTAAATTACTACTTGCAGACTACATTGTAATTTGCAACAGGACTTTAGTCACCTTGTACGTAGAAATAATAAATTGTTTACGAGGTAAGTTATAAGGTGAAAATATCATTTCCTCGCAAAGAGAAAAATAGTTTCATTGTCAAATAAGCACTAGACAATTTGAGCTAAATGTATCGGAATATAAATTGAAATTTAGACTATTGATGCATATTTTATCGGATTTCTGGTTTATAATGAGAATATGTTTGTAGACAAAAATGAGGGACACGTATTTTTTTAAGTGTTTTCTTGTGTATAGAGAGCGTGAAACTCTTCAAAAAAGTTGATTTTTTTTCTTCCTCAATGAATATTATCTGAACCTTCAAAGATATGAAAAAATGTTTTAAATAAAATTTTTTAATAAAAATGATTTCAAGAGTACTTTATAACATTAACAAATTTATTTCTTATTTTTGTCTATATTTTAACATATTCGAAACTTATTAAAATCAGAAGAGGACATTTGATTGTGTTCCCTTGAAAGATAAATTTGTAGGAATCGTCAACAGACAATATATGTGCACCTGTCGTGTCTT